CCAAAATGAAACTCGAAAAGGACTACGATTTGAAAAAGGCTTTAAAAGCTATGGGGGTTACCGAACTCTTCAGTCGTTCTTCAGCCGATTTATCAGGAATTTCAACTTCAAAGCCGGGCCTGTATGCATCTGACGCAAAGCATAGAGCCTTTATTGAGGCAAGTGCTTTCTTTTAAATTCAGTGCACAGAAGCGATGAGTCGATCTTGAGTGAACAGAAGCACGGCGAAAATTTTTTGAATATGTATCACGTTGCGAATGTGACAGTCCATACGTTATATGGTAGAGTAGTAGAGTACTTTGTGTCGTCGAAGGGAAGATCTCGGGCGCAATTTCGCATCACATGTATGAGCAAGGATTGGCCTATTAATACGGTGATTACTAGCTTGCAGTGCAAGGACGTAATAATACGCATTTCTTGATATACTTGAAATCAGTAAGAACTCAAATAGCGGAGGTTGATAAAAGGAGTACTAGGAATGAACGTACCATTCCGCAATTGGTTGGGATCTCTCTTCTTCCTACTCGTGTCCTGCTTGTACGCTGCTTGGACTATCGGCATTATCTCCGCTTTTTCGTACGTGGCATACTCTAACATAATACACATAAGCAAGCGATCTCTTACACGTGTTCCGTGTTTGAGTGGTGCGCAATTTGCAGATGTCCCCCAAAGACCTTGCTTCGGCGACATACGTTCCTCTACCAATGCTCTACTGACAGCACTTGCGCATGAAACATGTGGCCATGGGGCGATCCGTGCTTCACGGACAATACACTCTAATTATCGGCGTTGTAGGCGTAGCAATCTATCACAACCGTTGTAAGTGCAGCCAAGGGGCCGTATCGATGTCAGATCTACGAGCTATACTTATACCATCATGTTTAATCATCGTTTTAAGCAAGCACTTCAGTTTGCTCAAATAGGTTGACGAGAATGGAACAACTGCAGCTGCAGCGACGTACTTCGGACTCAGAATGAGGTCAAGGAGGCCTAACGGCAAAAAGTTTATCGCAGACCACCCGTTTATTTTCATTCTAACCAAGGATAAAAACGCTCTTTTCATTGGACAATATGTATGATGGAAATTTGTTT